GCCGCGGAGTCACTAAAGGGCCAGTAGGTTAATCTAACCTAGAGAGAACTAGGGAGATTGCCCGAGCATGGTTGAGCTATCTGGGCCCCATAATGATGTTGCGGAGGTACCAACGGTCAGAGACAGTAGTCAATCCTTCTCTCGGCGCTGAGGGGGTACCAAAGGAGGTTACATTAACAGTTTGAAAGTGATGGATTTTGAATGAGAAAATGGGGAGTAACATCGGCATGCATTGCATTCCATTGCATCACATTGATTATGTTGAGATTGGTTGTTATGTTGTATTAACCTGGCTTAGTATGATCCCTATTCCCATTGCTTTATTCTATGTTTGGATTCACGAGGACACAAGAGGCATATCTTAAGTGCCACCTGCTGAGCAAATTGCTCACCCCACCATACTTAACATTTTTCAGGTCTTGGAAAGGAATTGGCGGATGACAATCCATCTTAAGCTTGAAAGTTGCTAGAAGAACATTCTATTACTTTTGTATTAATCCATTCTTTTGTATACTCATTATTTTGGAAATGTAATCAATGTTAACATTTATGGCCTTGTAATTTAAGAATGAATCTCATCTCTTATTTGGTGTAAATGGGACTAATGTAACCATCGTGTAAAACTTATGTAAACGATTTCAAATGATGTTGTATTGTGATCATGGTTGGCTCTTTTGTCTATGATCTTAGGATGATTGATGATTGATGATTTACTTCAAGTTTAAATCCATTGTAAAGTCTCTTATTCAGCTCCCTTTCAATTTGCACAAAGGAGTAGTTCAGTTTCAGCTTCTGGGTTCGAGGGAGCCATTTCGGTCAACTGAAATGGTGCATCGGTCGACCGAACTTGGAAGGTGCTCTTAGGATCTCCTATTTTGGTCGATCGAAATGGGGTTCGGTCGACCGAACCATCTTCATTCTCTCGGAATCTCTCATTTCGGTCGACTGATGGGGGGTTTGGTCGACCGATTTTTGAAAGCCTGTTTCGGCCGACCGAAGCTCCACTTCGGTCGACCGAAGTTCATTTGTTGTGGTGGTTTTGTTCTTCCTTCTTGTTTTTTTTTTCACCCTCGATTCTTGGGGATTTTGTTTAGAGCCTTATGAAAACTTAATGATGATCCTAATAACGATGCTTGACGCTAGAAATGGTGTGTTTGACTTAGATAACCTCGGATTCGAGTAAGGACCCGGCTAACGGTTCGGACCTTCGGGTCTGGGGCGTTACAAAGTCGTTTAACCACCAAATATACAATGTATGCCAATGAAATGCCTTGCCATGCCATGTCGCTCCCCATTTCCGAAACAATACCATTTCAACTTCCAAACCGTTAGTGCAATCCGACCCAAGGTACCTCCAAGGCATCACGAATGGAGGGTTGACTAATTATCCACTACCACAAGGCACGTCCAAGGCATCGCATCCGGCCTAGTTAGCTTAACTATACTCCCTTCTAGACTACACTAACAACATGGACCGCTAGGCGCCTTCTAGGCGTCCGGTTTTCACAAACACTTTAAAAAAAAAAACTTTTGCCAAAAATAATTTTATTTGTTTTTAAAACAAACTTTTCCTTTTACTTTCTCAATGGTAATGCATGAATTATGCAAATCCTTCAATGCCATGACAATATAGAAATCTCATACATATCATCCACATCATTCAAACATGTTTAAAACATGAATTTTCACACAATATCACTTTCTTATATTTCTAAATCATAGCATTTTATCATACTTTCAATTTGCAATTCCATCAACTTAAATACATAAAGTATAAAATAAAGTCATTTATTTTCATAACTACAACATCACTTTTCATAGCAATTTAAAATCATAGGACATATAATACATCAACACTAAGCATGTTTCTTCACTACAAGAATTTAATCATATTCATAAGCTCACTTAACACATAGCATGCCTTTATCACCTTAAATACCAACCACCACAACAAACATAATCAAGATAATTACAATTAAGCATGCTTAAAGTTAAATTAAAGGAAAAGTTCACAAGAAATCTAAGAAATTGTGGATTAGAGCACCCCTACCTCAATTTATAGAAAAACCCTCAAAATGGGTCTCAAAACTCGAAATCATAGGGAAGGCCAAAACTGAAACTACTAGTACTCACGTGTAGATCTTGCCGTGTTTTCTGTTTCGTCACAAACCAAAAACTCTAAGAAATGAGAGATTAATTGAAACTTTAGTTTTTGATACAAAAGAAAAAAGAAAATGAAGAACAAGAGAGGGAGAAAAAGGATTACGAGAGAGAGAGAGAGAGAATCTGTGAGGCCATATGTAGCCTTCATGCCACTTAAAGATAAGTGGTGGGTCCCACCACTTTCTAAATTAAATTTTTTTTTTATTTTTTTTTTCCATCACAATTATATATATGTATAATTCACAAACATTACAGACAACTTCTTCAGACAGCTATGTCGCAAGATCTCACCTGCAGTAACCCTCCTAATGCGACACATAACTCTCTTTCCCAAACAGATTTTAAGGTTCAGCAATAAAACATGTGTGTAGATCGAGTTGATTTTGCGTAAAGAGATGATAAAACATTGTAAGCTTTGATTTTATCTTGAAAATATGTTATGTATTTTTTCTTTTTCTTTCTAATTGGAGATGGAGCTTCGATAAATTTCTTTCTTGTCGACGACGATCGATTTCATGGAAGAAATCATGCTACTTTCTTGAATCGGTTGTAACGATATATGTAAACGAGCAGAGCCGAACCAGAGCTTGTTGAATTTCTGCTGAGCCCAAGCTCAAGCTTGGCTAGGCAAAGCTCGCCCGAGCCGAGCCCAATCACCTCTCTGAACTTGACGAGCCGAGCCCAAGCAAGCCAAAGCTCGGCCCGGCTCGGTTCATTTGCAACCCTATATCTCTCTCCTTCCCTTTTTATTTCTTATTTCTTATTTTTTTTTACAAGCTTCAAAGCTTGATCCTTCATTTGTCTTTGGGAATTTGATTTTTCCGCTTAAGGCAAAGTTGACGAGCGCGTCGAGGCCGACGTTTTGATCGGAGCAAAGTTCCAATTGGCCACCTTTTGGATTTCGAGATTTTAGGGGTTTCTCTTACTTTGCTCTTCATTTGTGAGGTAGGGGTTTTCTAAGCCATATATTCTTGGATTTTGATGATTTTTTTTTTTTTTTTATTTGACTAAGAACATGCTAATTTTGTATAATTGTTTTATGACTATTTTAATTTTATATGTCTATTAAGCATTAGAGGTGTTTTAAGTGTTGAATATGTTAAATTGCATGTTTAATTGAGTTGTGGTGATGATATATGACCTTGGTTGATTTATCTCTATATGCCTTTTTTTGAAATGCCATGATTTATATTTATGAGAATGTGATGTTGTGTGGAAAATTATATTGTGAACATGCTTAAGTGATATTGATGATATGTGAAAGTATAATGTGTTTTTTAGAAGATTTTGTACAAGCATGCTATGTTGTTGAATTGGAATGCAATGTGAAAAAAATAAAATAAAAATAAAAGAAATAAAAATAAAATTTATTATTGACATGATATTGAAAGCATGAAGTATTCATGCATTGCATTGGGCACTTAGGCCGCTGACCATGGCAATGGCTGAACAAATGGTACCTGTGTTTGCGACCATCACACCCCAAGTTTGGGTGGAACACAGGGACTTGGCATGCCTGCGCACGCCCAGGGTGGTTGATCACCAAAATACCACAAACACCCCCATAAACATATACTTGTCCCCAGCAAAGTCGCCAGCTGTCGCTAAGGGTGGCCACGGATCGGATTGGATTAGGCATCAATCTTATTCCGATTCGCTCCTAATGGATTAGAAAAAATTTAATCCACCACCAATCCGTCATCTCAGGGATCGGACCTGTGTAATCACGGATCGAATCGGATTAAATCCACTAATTGGGTTTTATCTAAATTATCTATTATTATTATTATTTATTTTTATAAGTAATATTATTTATTATTTATTTATCTTTTAACCCTAACTCAATACATAAAATTTTAATTTATTAATATTAATTTTAATAATTATTAACTAATACATCCTTAGAGTACATTAAATTATCATTAACTAATTAAATTAATTAACATATTCTTTGAATATATATTTCACGGATCGGATCGGATCGGATTTTTAACAACCCAATTTGTGAGTTACAGATTTGATTTTTTTGAATCTGCCACCAATTCGTGAGTGTAGCAATCCGATCCGATTCGCACGGAGCTGATCAGATTCGTGGATTATTTGCCCACCCCTAACTGTCGCACTCAAAAAATTTCCCACCCTCTACTATAAAGGTTACGATAAACACTTATGAGGAAAAATGGGTTTAATGCGAAGAGTGACTTGAGTAGGGCCAATATTGATGTTCAAAGTCACCGGTTAGCATTTGATTATGGTGTTTTAGGTCACCTATGATGTCTAAAGACTTTAAGAAAATATATAACTACGGTACATGAGTGATCTATTGTGGGGCCCACAAATCCATGAAACATGCCCCACAAATCCATGAAACACGGTTGTCTTATTCCTATATTGCATAACTAGGTTAATTGTTTATGGAATTTAAAATGTTGCATCAAAAGATGCATAACTGAATTTAGCCTTGAAAGCTAGATCATATATATAATTGATGAGATCTATACTTTGCTAAGCATATAAGATCTAAAAAAGGAATGTAGTTTTGATAAAGGGTATATGTTTTCACAAATGATGATTTAAAGTTGCAAATTAGAGTTGTAGAGAGGGAGACGAAAGAATAAGCAAGTATTGTAGAGAGGGAGAGGAAAGAATAAAATGAGGACGACTAGAAGGAGAAGACACAGCTTAGAATCATTAAACAAGAAGGATGATAATTTTGAGGGTTTAATTACCGTGCTTTTGTTTATATTGGATAGCAATTTCGTCACCAAATAATTATTTTTACAATGTTTAATAATCAAGTAAGCAATTTTTTTAATCAAATTACTCTAAATTGGTCACTAAATGACAAATTTCTTTTTGAGGTTTGGTAATCAAGAACATCCTAACAACAAAATCTAACTAACAATTTAAAACCTCTCAAATAGAGAATAAAAAAAAAAAAAATTGCTCCAAGCAAATCCAAACTCAAATTCTATGTAATTGATCCCCAAAATACAAAGACAAAGTTGACATAATATTGAAACACTAGAATGTCACACGTACGAGTAATCAATCCAGTGCAGAACAGCCTAACAGCAAAATCTACAACAATTTAAAACCTCTCCTTACCAATGACAAGCAGTTAGCCAATCCCTTGGTTGAAGGAAGACTTCCAAGATGATGTCCTTTTCCGGGAACTCTTGAACATAATTTCGCTTTTGAGTGACGTCCATTTAGTGGCTGAAAACCAGAAGTCCAACTGTTGACCCACCTCCGAAGGTTACATAGTTTCGCGCACCTGGAAAGCTAAACGTGGGATTTTGCTGAAAACAAAGGAATGTATTATATATCAATGGGGTTAAAATCCAAAACAAAGAAAATGGAAGAGTATACAACTAAATGCCAACTACCCCATATAATAGTGTATAACTCTTATATGTTCTAAAAAGTCTGTAACATTCAATTTTGAAGCAAATAATGACCTGAATTTTGAAAACATCAAAGTGTGCCTCTATTACTGAATAAAAAATAGGTAAAAAAATTAATTAAATGTGAAATGACTAAACAGTCTTGCGGGGAAAAAAAAAAACTCTTATGGTGCATATAGAGTATATAACCCATACGTACTAAAAAAACTCCTTAAATTCAATTTTGGTGCAAGGAAGGACTTGAATGTTGAAAATACTAAAATATCCCTCTATAATTAAATAAAAAATACGTTAAAAAAACTAATTAAATGCGACTAAGTGTGTGTATATATATATATAAGGTCATTATCGGAATAGAAAATGAGATTTTTGAAATTTTATATCTTAAAAATGTCATGTGCAACGCACATGATTAAATTTTTAACGAAACAATGACCTGACACCCTTCTTTATCACATTTTTTTAAACTTAACGGACTTGTATACTCAAAATAAAGAATATATGTGTTATTTGCCCTTCAAGATAGGGGTGCTTTTTCTCACTTTGCCCTTCAAGAATCAAGATATTACATCCCTAAAATGAGAAAAAAAAAACACCCCTAAAATTCCATATTAAGGTGACCTACTCAAAGAGTCAAAATTACAAAAATAACAAATAAACGAGATACAAAAATATTCCACCAACAAAAATGGCTTTCAATTTTTGTTAATATAATTAACCAAAAAAAAAAGAAAGAACAATATAAGGTGATTGCTGAAAACAAACATTTTTACAACAAAAAAAATGAACATAAGGTGATTACTGAAAACAAACATTTTTACAAAAAAATGAACTATATAGTGGTTCCTCTATATAAGCCAATCTTTTAGTAGGGCACACAGAAAACAGTACAAGAAATAATTCAACCAACACTTGAAAAGTGTACTTGGGAAAAGAGACGAGGAATGATAGGCAAGACAGAGAATTGTGTAATTTCTTACATTTCTGTTGAAAAAATCGCCTTGTTGCGAATACCGCGCACACAATTTTGATGGCTCTTCTACACCCAAAAAGAATAAACACAAAAAATTACAGGTGTGTTCTCTTTCAGCTATTGTCCATTCTCAAAAATAAAAAATCATTTTTGCCTTTTCTTTCCGCAAATATATTCACAAGGAACCTGAACTTAGGACTTATAATCTGTGAACAAATATATCGTATCTCTTTCCATTCTGGTGAATTGACAAAGCACTAAGCACAAGAAATTAATGTAATTACAACTTACATTAGGTTGCTCTAACTGAGAATGCGCCTCGATTTTATCACCAGCCCTCTCAAAAATTTCAAGTAACAGTAGTGTGGACACCATCGCCTCCTTCAACTCCTCATGAATTTGAGACAACTTCATCTCTTCACTTCTCTGTTTCTTTAATGAGTACTTTCTCTTTCTACTTCTACCCATTAGTTTATACTCATTACCAATATGAGCCGCAAGTTCAATGACAACACATTCACGAAGTGTCATACATCCTCTTGAAGTAAAATTATTACAGCCCTGAAAGGTGATTGGTTCCATAACCTTTTCCCGAGCAACCATTAGTAGAACGGCCAGCTCAATGCTTGCAAGCGAATTACCTCCCTGATTTCTTTTGTTTTTCGTGCAACTGACCTGACTGATTCCAATGCTTCTTTCTGCAACAGGAGTAAGTGAAATGATACAAGCATAAACAATCTTCTAATATTGTACATTGCTCTTCAGCTTAAGATTTACATTGTACCGAACTATCAACTTTTTGCAGATTTGCTAAAATGGTTCACTGCTTGATCTCTTTTGTATTCTGGAATTGCTTACCCCACAAGTGTCCTACAATGACTAAAATAACATATTTGATATTTCTATATCTTTCTATCCACGTGGTCTAGGTCTCTTCTTTTGCTTTTCTATACACATTCTTGTACTTCCCCCTCTGGAATTCTTACACATTTGGGTCTTACGAATTAGTTTCAGTTTCCATGCAATCTGAGATTCAATATTATGGAAGGGGCATTTTGCTAATAGTTGTGCGATGCAGTACACAAGCCATCGATGCATCAAAGAGGCTGGTAAGTACTAGAAGCCTTTACCATTGTTGATTGTAGAACTAAATCCAAATTTTAATCTGATTCGAACTTCAAAAAATGGAAAATATTAGAATATTCTGTCAGTAAAAGGTGATGGGTGAAAATTTTAATTTTTTTAAGAAAAAATAAGGAATGGTGAAGAAGAAATGGGACTAACAAGCTTTTTAAATTCATTAAAAAGACGAAAATTGTTCTTTTACTTCTGGATCGGAGATGGGTCAAGATCTGGTTCTATAATCCTAAACCATTACAACTGGTCAAGAGTATATGGGTCAATAAGAAAGGGCATAATGGTCATAACACTGTAAAAGTCATGTGCTTCACAATCTCTAATTTTTATTTTTTTGTGTCAGCAAGCAGCCACTTGCAAAACTTTGAGTAACTTCACGGGTTTGCCATAAATAATTTTAAAAACTTATCTGGAAAAAGATGATAGTTGGGGGAGATTTTTGCATTTTTCTTCCTGTGAAAGATTTTTGAAATTTGCGTTTTATAAAAAGGCATAGTATGCAATTCACAACTAATTTTGAATGAAAAACAAACCATTATCGGAAGGCAAAGTATGGTGATTAACTTGAAGATGGAATCTCCTCGACTCCACTGGATGAGATTTTTGTCAGATCTACACCAAGAATGAAAAGCAAAAAATTGGAAAGTAAAGAAAAAAAAAATTTAATATATACGTATATGTAAATAATGACAAGTGAATATTTCAATAAAACTCTGCAAAAGGACCAAGAAATCACAACATGCAGTAGGATACCTAAAGCTAATTACCTTATTTCTTCAAGTGCTTTTTGGAGAGAAAGCAATGCATTGTGCTCTGAATCAACAGCACTGCTGCATCTTACATCAGCCCGAGCTCCACACTGAAGGAAAAACTTAACTCAACACGCATTACCACAATATAAGCTTGTTCCAAATATTTAAGCAATTTCAGCGTTGCATTGTTCTCATCAAATATGAGGTAACCACACCTAATTATATATCAAACTACCTAGAATGTACGTACAAGAGTACTTTCATATGGCACTCCTGGACATACTGTTCCTTTTTCCATGCGTAAGAGAGAAAACATGTTTGATACTTTTAAGAAACACAAAGTCAACAAAGTTCTTGGTAAAAATATATGTGAATAGTTTCAAAGAACGAAATCCCGCCAATACATTGAACAAAGGAAAAAAAAAAAAAAAATAGTACAGTAAACCCTATGCCTCACTCTTACCCTTTTAATAGGTAGACTGCACGGCTGCAAATGAGATGGCAAGCAGACGTCCTCTGGTTGAGATCTACATTCACTGCTCTTACCTGAATCGGTTAAGAAAGAAAATATACATATAATTAAACAACTTTGTACAATATCTAGCGTAGATTGTTTTTTCTTTTTCATTGTGAAGCACAAATGAGTTTATTAGAGGAGGGAATCGATCAACAACCTAACTACTGCTCCCATGGCAGCACAGCCGAGAAACTTTTGCACGTGTGGGGTACCATGTCAGAATGAAAAGGGAAAAAGGAACAAATTAGTGTTGGTCATTGAGACGTTAAGGGTCAACTTCTTATAAATCATGAATCTAGATAGCAAACAGATCAAGCAAAATATGAAATAAATGACCATATAAAACATAAGCATATGGAAGCCAAACCAGTCCTCTTTTCTGGAAACTTGAATATGCTCATTCTTCAATGGAAATCCCTTTTCCTCGAAGATGGATGCAACATGTTCAGGCCGCTGTAATGGACATAAAAAGGTTAAGAAAATGCTTTAAAAAGAGGAAGGAATCAGTAGAATCGTAGAAACCAACTTCAGAAATATTTGAAAATAGATAAGAGAGAAGGGCAGATTTATCTACAAGAAAAATGGCTTTTAACAGGAGTGAAAAATTGTTCTACAGCGGGCATGGCCCATTGTGGTATCCCCTATTGTTGTTGACTCAGGGTCTTTTTTTATTTTATTTTATTATTTTTTTTTTAGCATTAGGAATTCACTTAGGTAGGGTCCATTCGGGACCCACCCTAGGCTACAAGGGGAACAAACCTGTCGTAGAAAGCTATCTTTCTACAATGGGCAGGAACCGTCGTAGAAGACCCTGAGTCGCCCCCGGGGGCTTGGCAGTGATGGTAGGGGCTCGGGGCTGGCATCCAATTGGCCAGTGTTCGACTCCTACCAAGCCTTCCAATTTCTCCGACTTACCTGGTGTATCCTTGGGATGAGGCTCTGCACCCCCAAGTTTGTAGCTTAGCGCCTGTTGTAGAAATATTGCTTTCTATGACGGTTTGTGCCCCTTGTAGAAAGCAATTTTTTTTAAAAAAAAAATTTCAATGGTTGCCTTACATTGCCCCCAACACAAAATCAATACAATTAAACACAGCAATAAATCCAGCCAAAGGTATATATATCCACACCAAGCCTTACACAAACAATATGATACAAGATGAAAAAGAGTTCAAGTCATATAAAAATGAAAATTTTCATCTACATCTCACTAATCACAAACAAATAGAACTCGCGAAAGACGAAGCTCCAGAAAAATTCGTACCTGGGCAATTTTCCTCTGAAGGTGAAACTCGCGAAAGACGAAGCTCCAGCAAAATTCGTGCTTGGACTTAGAGAGGGTTAGGGGTTCGTATGGATTCAACAGAGAGAGAGGGGTGCTTTGGTTGATTGATGCGTACGAAGTTTCGGAGGATTGATGAAAACAATTGACGAAAAACTTAACTTTTCACAAAAAGATAACCCTATTCTACAATGGGCTTTGCGGGCCTGTTGTAGAATAATACCTTCCTCCAATGGGCCATGCGGGCCTGTTGTAGAAAGCTCTTTCTACAAGGGATATGTGGGCCTGTTGTAGAAAATGTGTTATTAAAGGCGTATTTTCTTGTAGTGATATAAATAATACACATATACTTGCGCGCGCGTGTGTGAAGAAGAGAAAGACCATGGCATATATCTACAAATGCCGCACAAAAGTCAACTAAAATAATGTTTTCATACACTGCTAACATCAATCCATCTGTCAATTGAGTAGATAACTTGAGAAAAGTATTGCTTAACATACCCTAGCAAGATGCTGCGTTGCTTCTCTGTCCAAAAATACACCAGATAAGGATTCAATCAGCTTTCCTTCCTCTGCATATTGGAAACAGACATCCTCAACCAACTCAGGCAGCGTATGCTTTGCAAGCCACCGAACAGCCCTCAATGGTTCTTGCTGCACAAAGTTGTAGTGAATCACAATAAGTAACCTTTGCAACAGTATTCCTCCATTTTATCTATTCAAAAATACTTGATTACTTCAAATAATAGTTTTCTTGGCATCAATGTAACCAATTTGCTAAAGAAGCATACCAATTCAGGAAGGCAGAGTATGAGAACCAACTTGAAGACAGATACGTCAGGGGTCCACTCTACGTAGTAGCTGAACCAAGAATATGAAAAACCACAATCAGAAAGGTAGCGAGGGAACAAATACAGTAGTGCCAGCCTCCCACTATGTATATGTGTGCATAAGAACAAAGAAAGCAATTATTGCTAGATGAATTTTGACTTCTAACCTTAGCGATTCTACAGCTACATTGAGTGGAAGTACCCCATTGACTTTCATCACCGACGGACTGCATCTGACATCAGTTCGAGCTCCATAGTTGACAAATGTCCAAAGTAAACTGAAGCAAAGAGATTGCGCTGCATGACACACAGGTAACAATCCATCTCGAAGACGAGCATTAAGATCTACAAGTTGGCCAGCCTGCCCCCAACCAACAAGGCAGCACAGTTTACCGCACGATATTGACAGACCCACAATAATAGCTCGGACAGACAATAATTATTAGAGGTGCTATCATCTGAACTTGAACTTCCTAAATGATGATGCAAAAGAGTGAAGAGATTATCCGCATCATCATTTTTAATGAGTTCCTCGAGTTGCTGCTCTATCTCTAAGCGTCTTTGAGAACTCTGTGCTTCTAAGACAGCAAGTTGAATTGACTCCTGGTGATACATATACAAACAGGCAAATGAAGCAGAAGTTTCACCATACAAAATTACTAAATAATTTGTGCAAGAAAACCAAAATATCATTACAAATGTAGGAGGATTTCTAAAAAGAAAAATAAAAAATAAAAAAAATTCCAAAGATGTTGTTTTACAATTGTAAAGATCAAGATGGGGTATCCAAAGAAGTAAAATGAAATGTGAGGATACCCAGCCCCATCGTTGGTTATTAAAGAGTGGAGATTACCAAAATCTATATGACTAACCAGTCATAAAGCCAACTTAGTAACTTGTCCTAATAATTAACCTCACAATAAAGCGTACAATAGAGGGATCAATTTCCCTACCAATGATGGTGGGTCGAGATGACAACAGGGGTTCCGCTAAACCTTACCTGCCCCATTTAAAAAATCTTTCACACCATTCCGTCCCAAACCCAGGACGGGTTTTTGGTAGCAATACCATCCCCGCCCCGTAGTAAGATATTCGGGACCCATTTCCGCCCCGTTTAGATGGTTCTCACTGCTCTACTTTATGAACACGCAACCACAGATGTGCTTTAAATTCTCAATGCTCTAATCTTGACAAAGAAAAAGAGAAATAAAGGGAGTCAAACAAAAAAAAGAGAAATGGAGAGACAAATAGAAACAGATAAATAAAAAGGTATTTACCGAAGAGAGAACACCGGTCTTTCGTCGTCGGAGCTTTTTGGAAATCGCAGGTCTCTTTATCATAGTTGATCATGTAGGACTGTGGTTGAGGCTGTGGTGAGGAGTGAGGCAATGAGGGCGACGTCGCGTGGAGACATATAGAGCGACCGGCTGCGATATATATATATATATATATATATATATAGGAAAAATTATATATATATAGGAAAAGTTATATATAAATGGAGTCAAAGTTCCATATTTACTTAGAAGTCAAAGTTTCATATTTCTCTGAAATGGATTGCTGAGGTGGCACATGGTTTTTTACTGTTTAGAAATTGTGGTGCCTAAAATACCCTTCCGCGAAGGTACTACTTTTTCTTCGAAGGTACTACTTTTTTGAACTGAAGGTACTACTTTTTGATGTTCAGGTACCATGTTTTTTAAACACCCGCGAAAGTACTACTTTTTCTCTGAAGGTACTACTTTTTTAAACTGAAGGTACTACTTTTTTGAACTGAAGGTACTACTTTTTTGTTAGGGAAGGGCATTTTAGGCACCACAATTTTCTAAACAGTAAAAAACCATGTGCCATCTCAGCAATCCATTTTAGAGAAATATGGAACTTTGACTCAGTCTCTAAGTAAATATGGAACTTTAACTCCATTTATATGTAATTTTCCCATATATATATATACATGGGTAATGATACAGGGGCCGAAGGTTTTTGGCCGAACAGGGGCCGAACAAGGCCACATCAGATTCTTAAATCTGACTTTGCGTGAAAAAAAAGTAGGTATATTCATGAGGGAAAATTACATATAAATGGAGTCAAAGTTCTATATTTACTTAGAGACTGAGTCAAAGTTCCATATTTCTCTAAAATGGATTGC